TATATATATATATAGGGAAGGCGAGAGTACTCCCCCTCCTCTTGAGGTACTTCCGCGGTTACTGATTGTTAGATATTAAACATACAGAGCTATTTTAGGGATGTTTCAAATTATATCAGTTTTAGATGCAAAGCAAATAAATAATGTCATATGCATCTTTATTTCTAGTAAAAGTAACTCCAAAGGATGATGTTGTAAGATCTGTTCTCGTGAATGGTGAAAAGTTCCAACTTGCCCAGTTCCATTTTCACTGGGGAGACAATTATTACACTGGATCAGAACACACGGTGGATGAGAAACAGTATGCACTAGAGGTACAAGTCCTGACCTTTTCTATCTAGCAAAAATCTTATTTGTAAAATGAATGGCAACAAACAGAATCACACAGCCAATCTTGCTAGATGTTAAATTTATGTTTGAATTAATTCTTCGTTTAGCTTCCACTTTTATCATATAAATTAAAATCATCTGAAGAATTTTACACTTATATTGTTTTGAATTATAAATAAGTGGAAGTGTTAAATAAAGTATGCTTCACAGAATCTATTTATAAATATATCATGAAATCATTTATTTTCGAATCAGATAAATAGGAGGTAAATCTGAAATAACGGGTTTCAAAGAGTGCATAAAAATACACTTTGAAAACCGTTATACACAGTTAAAACGTGGTATGGTTGTTATGCATAGTCACTTGCTTAAAATAATATTTTTATTTTGCAGTTACATTTTGTGCACACAGATGCAAAGGGACGCATTGCCGTAGTTGGTGTATTCTATCAGGTTTGTATTCTGTCAGAAGTGAAACAATTTATTATTATCCTAATTTGTTTTAGATTTTGTTACTGACACGCAGAATAAAAAAAATAACTTTTAACTCTTAGCATAACTTGGAATTTAATACTGAATAACATGATTTTATTAAATTTAACACTAAATAATAATAGCTAATTATTTTTAAAAAAAAACTTGATGACATTGGTTAAGGCTGTTTTTCGAAATTTCGGTTGTAATATAAGGTGATGTTTCCTTGCGAATAATATGCTAGTTTGCGAATAATATGCTGTCGTGAGTTCGCAACTGTTACTTATGACTGTTAGATCAAGTTTAGCCTAATAAGAGCTGTCTACGCTTATTATTCTGCTCAGCCGTAGATGAATTATTTAACAATCACTTGTTAGAAGAAATCTTTTCTTATTTGTTGCAACGCATGCGCTCTGAAACTCTTGCTAACTGGAACATTTTGTCTGCTTGTCAGTTAGATTAGCAATTTCGTATAGCGTGTTTACCCATCACCTCCTACATCAAGAAGCCTCCACACGGTCTTTTATAAGTAGTCCACGCAGACTGTTTAAAAAATGAACCTGTTGTGCGCATGAACCCAAAACCTTTTATAAAAGTAATTGAGAGAAATTTATCTTATATATTTGAGAATTGAATCTGCAGTGGTTGACTAGTGAATAAGGCAAACCAATAATATTCATAAATAAAATTAATTTTTAGTCATATATGTGCTACCACTTTCTTATTTTAAATATATTCTGTATTAAATGACTCGTTCGGTAAGTGGATATCCTTCATAGTGGTCTGATCGGACTACTTATAAGAAACCGTGTGGAGGCTTTCAGTTATAGGAAGGTTCTTCAAGGTTTTATTTTATTTTTATGAGTTTTATGCGAGATTCAGGGAGCATAGTTCCTTTTTCCAGCTATATTGGAAGTTCCAGTATGTGCTAGGTCTGTTTTTATTTTAAAGTTTTTAATAAATAGTTTATTTTGGCAATTTAGTTTCTTTTTCATTAATCGATGGCTCGTGTTAGTTTAATTCATGCTAGTTTTCCCCCACATACGGCTAATTCCGTAAAACGTCTATTTGGAGAAACGCCACAGTTTTGTGAAAAGGAAAAGAGTTTGTGGTCTAATTTCTTAATATTTGAAAACTTACTCCAATGCTGCATTATCTGGTCTCATAGGATGTACTAAAACTGAGAATAAGGCAGTGATTTTGTTAATTTTCATCTAGATGGAAAAATGTCGCCAAATTGGCGATTTAAAAAAAAGTTTAATGAGGTTTTAAATATTCAAATTATTTGACTGTTCTAAGACCCAGATAATTCCTCACGGCTAGATCATTTATAGAGATTCAAATCATCGAATTGCTTCAGTTGTTAGGCACTATGTTGTAAGGAACTATGCCTTTTTTTTATATTTTCCTTGGCAATACAGCTTCGAAAAACAGTTTTAAGAAGATTATCGAAATAGTAAACGAAATATTTTGTTGACTGCCATGTTGGAAATTACAAAATTATTCAGTGATTTTTTTTCAGTCATCCATTTTGAACAGCACTGGTATGCAACCCATTTCGGATATGCTGCAATCCCTTCGGTATAAGGGTACGAAATTAGATGTGAAAGGCGATATCAACTTGGATAAGTTGGTCGAAAATGGTTGCTCTTACTATCGTTACGATGGCTCTCTCACAACTCCTGGATGCGATGAAGGAGTTATCTGGACACTTTGCAAAAATCCTCTTAGAATTGGAATCTTGCAGGTATACTATGAATTTAAAAAAATAAGTTTTTAATTAAAACCAGTTTTAATTTTATCATTTGCACAACAAACTCAGAGATGCCAAATGCTCCGGACACGCCAAAATAAATAAAAAAACGGTAAATAACTACAAAGTAAATTTTGCTAATATTTGACTATTATTTATATTCTACTACAATGATTTTCTCAGTATGTATTGCATCAATTTCTTCAAAATTTTTAAAAGCATTAAAAATTTACTCGAATTATGTGTTTTAACAATCTTGGCTTCCCCGGTCACCGGTGATCGGTACATGGCATTCAACGTGTTAAATAAGGAATTAACTGAAATTGTGAAACAAAAATTTTCTTTTTTTCTTTTTGAGATGGAGGCTACTGTCTAGGCTGTCTTCCAGATAAAGGAGGGAGGATTGATGGTATACCGATTCTCTTGAATGCCAACTTTAAAAGTCTCACTAGAGAATAACTAACTACTTATCCCCAACTACTATTGAATTTCAGTAGATTCCAAAAATACTTTTTCGAGTGAGAGCGAAAGTTACGTATTGATTATTTAGTAAAATAAAATAGAACTTTTGAAACGATTACTTATAAATAAAACGAATTAAATATAAAAGGTCAGATAAGCAAAGAGACATACTTTAAAGAGCTGATAAAACATATAAAAAATTCTGTATCTTTTAAAAAGTTGTGCCTCAGTTCACTACTAACTGAAAAAAAAAACTTCACGAACAAAAAAGTAGCAATTTAAATAAATAAATAAATAATTAAATGCATATAAATAAATAAATAAATAAATAATTAAATAAAAATAAATAATTGAATAAAAATAAATAAATAATTAAAGAAAAATAAATAAATAATTAAATAAAAATAAATAAATAATTAAATAAAAATAAATAAATAATTAAATAAACGAGCCACACTGAATACCTTTTGATCTAATGATCTAATCTTTGATCTAATCTTTACGTTCAATGACTCAATCTTACTGGTTCAAATGGGTGACCTCAAATATGCTACTCAGTAGATGCCCACGATATTTTAAGTTATGAAATCACACACAGAAACGTATTTCTTTGAATAAACATACCATTTTTTTCGTTTTAAGCAAATTGAAAGAATTTTACACACAATTATAAAATTCGTTTATCCAGAGATAATTTTATGCAAAAAGCAGTTTTCATTAAGTATTTCTTTATTATTTTATTCAAAGATAGTCGAAAAAATGTTGAATTGTAAGGTAGACATTTTTTTGTGTCATTTTAAAGAATGTAATTTTATTTGGCAAAATAAAAAAATGGAGTCAAATTGTTCCTTAGAAATCGAATTTTAAAAATACGACTCTTTTAAAATTCAATTTATCAGGAACTATTCGACCGATTTCGCTCAAATTTTGTATTTTTCTGTGTGAAATTAAATTCTTTAAAACGACGTCAAAAATTTTATACTTTACAGTTCAAAAATTTTCGACTATTTTTAAATAAAAAATTTTTTATACTTACAGAAAGTCATTTTTTTGTATAGAATTATCTTTGGATAAACGAGTTTTATAATTATTTGAAATTTTTTTTCAATTTTCTTAAAAGGTTCTCGATATATAGCGAAAAGTAAAATTAACATTACAGGGTCTAAACTTTCGACCGCTCCCCTGACCACACTATTGGGACCATATTTCCCAGATTGCTGCTCTTAAAATTCACTCGAGTAACCATGAGTTCCACAGATACTCTGTGGTACTCATAGTCACTCTACTCTCTCGGGAACACAAGCTTTAAATGAATGGTTTATTAAAAACACTAAAACATTTTTTTATATTTTTATTTTCTGACGGGTTTTTCGAATGGATCTCAGATGATTTGGGCGGACCGTTCATCTCAACGTTGCAATCGGTTTCTTTCAACAAGTTACAGTTTTTATGCAATTCAATAATCTGTTGCAAACCAGAATTTTTCAAAATTCACTCGAGTGAATACATAATGTCCCCACTTCCCTACTTCATAGGGAGTGGTAGATAATACATTGCAGTTAATGATGTGATACGTTAAGGTCATATATTTTTTGTTATTACTCCCTATGAAGCAGAGAAGGGGGACATTCAGCATTCATTCGAGTGAATTTGCATAGATAAACTTTAGAAACAAGTGTATATATGCATGTAAACATATGTAAACCTTTACGTTTTTTTCAAACTTGTGCATTTAAACGAAACACAAGCTAAACAAAGAATATAATTTTGAAAAAAAAAGTAGCGTTAGGAGCAAAAGCTAATTTAAGATTTGAATTCTCCACACCCGAATTAAATAAAATCAAGTACTTGCATAAATTCACAAATTTTTTTTCTTCCCAATGTAATCTTTTCCTTTTTTCCGAATTAGTAGTAAGGCTTGTTTTAGGTTTTAGTTTGAAGCTTCATGGAATAAGAGAGTGAAAAATTTATATTTTTATATCTATAAATCTATCTATATGTTTTTATATCTATAAATATCTATAAATTTATATTTTTTATCTATGAATTTCCAATATAAATTTGGAAATATTTGAACAAAGTTTTACAATTTATAAATTTGTCTTTATAACACAGTAGTGTTGTTTTAGAAAAATTATTTTCTTCTCATTCTTTTTAAGTTACAAAAGTTGTTTGCGTTAATCTCTAAGCTAATTCCAGCATTCTAAGTAAACATTGATATATGCTGTTCTTGCATTCAGCCTCATATATTTACCGAAGAACTTCTTTTACTTATTTACATTTTTTGTTTTGCAGCTTATTGAATTCCGGCAGGTTTATTCAGTTGGAAAAACTGATGGAGTGGACATCAGTGAATGCATAATAAATAATAATTACAGACCAATTCAACCAATTAACAGCAGAACAGTCAGATCTTCAGTATGAAATAATTAAGGAACATGTTTTAAACATTAAAACTGTTATTATTATATGAATTTGTTCAAAAAATGTATTAATAAAATTTTGGTACCAAATTTTTAGAACAATTATTTCTGCTAAATTATAAACATAAAAATTGTGTTCTGTAAAGATGTTAAATTTTTTAAAAAAACAACCAATTTGTTTAATCAGGTTACGGCAGGTTCATACCGGCCAGAGTTTTTCAAAGTAGCTTTTTCTTAGTGGTAAGAAATTAAAAATTGAATTGAGATTGTAAGTTGGGCCTCAATGAAGTTTAGCCATTACTTGAAAACCAGAGTAGCCAACTTGTTCAGGAAAGCGGACAAATATCTTCGATTGGCTGTCGTATAATACACTGCTAAAAACAATTAAAGGATATTTAGGTTGAGGGTTGATCTTGCTCCTGTAGAATTGTTTGAATGATTGATCTATTATCGACAGACGTAGTAGGCTATATGAGACAAAAATGACATTTGTTTGGCAGAAAAAAATGTGCTTTATTGAGCAAATGGATACAAAAGGAAAGAAACACAATTTTTGAAAAATAGAAAAACAAATAAAACAAGGTGTTTCATTAAAAGACAATCACTTTTAATGGTTATGGTTTTCACCGACTATCACCAAGTTATGGTTATGGTTTTCACCGACTACCAGCGACGTTGAACATCCTCGAGGCATTGAGTCAATGAGGTTATTAATGAGGGGCTGGGGTATTCTATCCCACTTCTGCAGAAGAATTCTTTCCAGTTCTCGAAGAGTTTGTGGGGGTGGTAGGCATCCAGAAATTCGTCTGCCTAGAATGTCCCAAATATGTTCGATTGATTTCATGTTCGAAGAACACGCTGGCCAATCCATTCGCAAGATTCCTTTCTCCAAAAGAAAGTCATTTACCAAGTTAGCACGATGTAACTTGCAATTATTGTTCCTTATCATGAAATCATCTCCAATTGCTGAAGCGTAAGTGACTACAATATGTTTCAGGAGCTCATCGCAATCGACCGGTCCGAACTCCATTTCGAATGATATATGGAGATTAGTGCGCCCATCAATGGAGATCCTTGCATACACCATCACTCCCCCACCACCAAATCATACACTTTCGAGCACGAACGCAAGATTATTTTTAGTGCCCCGTTCCCTCCAGTTGAAACTACGCCTACTATCAGGATGAACAGAAAAACGGGCGCCAGAGAGAAGAATGCTGCGCCATTCATTTCTCCTCCTGTTCACATGCTCTGTTGACCATTCCCTGCTGGCTCGATTGTGCTTTGCTGTTAACGTGACACACACCATTGGTCGACGAGCAGACAGACTTACAGCGTGAAGGCGGTTTCGAACAGTTTGTGTCGAAACTGTGGTGCAAGTAGCCGAACGAAGGTTTTGTTGAAGGAGAGTGGTATTCATATTTCAGTGTCTATGAGCCGTTAACGTTAAATAACAGTCTTCATTGGGTATTGTTGCACGTCTAACGTCTACGCTCTCACCCTCACCCTGATCTTCGGCCTGCATTTCCAGTTTCCAAAAAACGGCTCCAGATCCTAGAGATTACACTTTCTGATTTACGCTTCTGCTCCTTCGGCTTGTGTTTAACCCCTCTCTCATCAGCCAACAACTCTCCAAGCTTCTGATTAGGTTATATGACTTCGTTACGACATCGCACTGATCGAAACAACGCACTTACTGAATGTCGATCATTCTTTCTCAGCTTTGTCTTACATTAAGTTGAGAACCAAATTAAATTCGCTGCAGCAAAAAACGTCCTCTTCAACGTCTAACTCATAATTTGATACTGCGAAGTTTGAAAATAAGAAAAATTTGCATTTGTGCTCTTTTACCATTTTATGCAAAGAAAAAAAAATAACTGCGTATTTTATACAAGACTTACTATATCCTTCAATTGTTTTGAGAAGAGTATATGATTTTTGGTTTAGTAAATTTGGTTTATTAGGTTTTAGCTCACCACTTTCTCTAAATAATCCAAAGGCTTATGCTATACGCCACTTTGTCATCCATTCGTTTATCTGGCTAATAACTCCGTTGAAAAGACAAGCGCCGTGAGTCAGATTCCTCGAAAATAACACTCACATTAAAGCAATATAGCAAGAATAAATATTTTAAAGACGGACAGCAAATAAATATTTTAAAGTGGTAGTTTATCAATTGTGATTCTTGGTCCAATAAATTCAATTTTAGCATATAATACTGATAATTTTAGCAGATCCAACACTATTTCTAAATAATTCGTAGGCTTACACAATTCACCACTTTTTAATAGTTTTGTTATGCTGTACATATTAAAAAGCAAGCAAAAATAGTCAAATATTTGCAAAATTTAGTTAGTAGTTATTTACCGTTTTTTTTTTAAAAATTATTATGGCATGTCCGGAACAGTTGGCATCTTTGCGTTGAGCCTTTTCAAACTTTATCAAAATTAACTGAAAATTTGTAAGTTTTAGATTATAGTTCTTTGCTGTTTTTTAAAATATTTTTTCGAATTCGGAAGAATTGTTACACGTGTGAAGACTTAGAAATTAACACGTACACGCCGGGGTGACCCACCGGAGGGTCACGCTAGATTGTCTCATCTTGGCGGCTCGCCAAAGTAAAAACATGGTAACAAATAAATTTAATTTTTTAGTTTTTTTCTGGGAATAATAAAAATCCATAACTACCAATTGTTTTTAACGGATGCAATTTTTGTATTGAATTGCTTCTTCGCCGTGATAAATTTCCTTACAGTGAACTGTTATTGTTGAGAATAGATTAACTCCTCTCGAATATTGTCTAATATTGAAATAGTTCTTCTACCAGTATTTTCACTTTTCCCGGCATGAACGTGTTAATAAAATAGTATAACTAGTAAGAAAGTGAGCTAAGCTACTTCTTCTGGCTTCATCTATCAACATTTCCGCTTTAAAAATAGTGTTATAAAAGTTTTACCAATCAAAGTTTAAATGAAGTTTTATCGACAAGATGAAGATTGATTCAATTATTTTATTCTTGAAATTTTATCTTCAGTAAACAAAGATATTTGTGTTCACCATAATACAAATTACAATATCGTACACAATAATATCGTACAATTAATAATACAAATATCGAAATTTTTTATATCAAATTACTCGAAAGCGATGTTTTAAAGATTGAGATAGCCAACAGTAGAAAAATACGAAATAAATCTAAGCATGAATGATCTACCCCTGTTTTCATAAAGATTCATTTCTCAATGCTAACTACAAAATGTTGCGTTTTCACAATAGTAGTTCGAATTGGGTTAATATTTCTAAAAGCAATAAGTCTTGACCTTATCTTCAAATAATCCTAACCCATGTCATTACATTCAAAAGAATACATCTTTAAAAATGCTTTATCTTTAGGNTAGAGCAAGCTGCTCATTTTATTTTTTGATTCCTTTTTTGTTATTCAAGCAAAGTGCTTGAAACATTCATAAAAGCAACTCCACTTCCTGCTTACCTCATTGCTCAACCAAAAGTGTGTTAAAATTCAAGATGAATGGGATAGGGGTCGCGAATAAATAAAAAATCAATTCGTTAGATATATGACAGGAGCCCCAAAGGCAATCAGTAATAGACTTTTAAGAAAAGATCTTAAAATTGAGGAAATGAATTGCTACATGGTGAAACGCAGCACCAAATTCTTCCGCGATGCTAAAGAATGTAATGCCTCTAATTTTAAGCAAATCTTTGATATTGAACTTATAAAAGAAAACAGTAACCACAGCCCACTAACGGCTTTCCTACTATCAGATAGTATAATCTCAAAATTTTACAAGAAATAGGACACAAATACACACAGCGTATCCACTGGACTATGGCAAACCCGGTGAAGGAGTAACCCTGAATAGGGTCCGATCCGGGCAAGCCATAGCTCTATTAAGTTTAGTACAGTGAGCAACCCGGTACGAGTGGTTGAATACCAGGACGACCGGGTCACTGTTATAGTAGAGCCATACACTAATATTAGTCATATGTTAGTATAACATAAACATGTAAATAGTTTTGTAAATATTATGTACTTATATATCTTATCATAATCTTATCTTATTTTAATAATGCACCTTCATTTTATGTTATCATATTCAATTGCTTGTTCTTTACTTGTTTTTATTCTGTTATTTTTGTATTTAACGATGGGGGAATTCCCCCTATCCCTTATTATAACATAAGATTTAATATTCCTATGACCTGAGAGCATAAAGCAAACTAGTATCGATTAATCGGTTAGTAGTGGCGCTTTGCGCCAAACACCGAGATTCCACTCATATCAAGCATCGTATTTATGTCCTGCTATACCTTTTAAAAAGCAAGCAAAAATAGTCAAGTATTTTCAAAATTTATAGTTATTTACCGTTTTTTTTTTATAGTTATTATGGCGAGTCCGGAGCAGTTGGCATCTTTGAGTAGAGCCTTTTCAAACTTTAACAAAACTTACCGAAAACTTGTAAATTTTAACTCGGAATTCTCTGACTTTTTTTCAAACTTTTTTTTCGAATTCGGAGGAATTGTTACACGCATTAAAACTTAAAAATTAAAAAGGGACAAACCTCAATGATTTCGTGCATGTGTAAACAGGGTACACGTTCTATGCATATTTTACTATATAAGTTACATATATTACTTTATATTTTATAATCAATATTTCTCCTATGATCTAATTATAAAAAACAAGGAGGTTTTTTTTGCCTAACTAGTATTTTGCCTTATTTATGCAAAGTACTATTTTTCGATATTTTGTCACTTCAGTCCTGAAACTACTGTCCCTTTAAATTATGTCAAAATGTTTTTCCCTTTATTAATAAAAATATAATTTTCTTCAAATCTTAATTCAATTAACAAATAACGGATCTAGATGCGAAACTTGCTAACTGTATTAAAAATATTGAGTCAGATATATGACTATATCATGTATTCAATTAGAATAAATAAGTAAGGAGGTTTGAAAAACACAAAAAAGAAGAGACTTGTTTTTGACAATTCAGAGATCAAATATTAATTGTCATCCTTGTTTGTGAGTGGGAAGGTTACAAATACATGAATAGATAAAACGTTTTTGA